TGAACCAATAATTATTTTTTAATTGTCTCGACGATAGATTGTAGAACTAGTCAAAAGCTATCAAATATCGTCTCAATTAATTTTTTGATAAGCACATAATATCTTCTTTTTAGGTTTTAAAGTTGGTCAATTTTTATTTGATGGGTGCACTATACACAATTACAAATTGAACAAATTGGATGGCTTCGGACAGGCAGGAGGATTTAAACCTTAGGGCCAAGCTTCCCCTGAAAATTTAATTGTGTCATTTTATCATCGGGGGATTAGTCATATGTGAATGAGGTGTAAGTTTCCATTAATCAAGTGTTACATATTGAATCATTTGTTGTCTCCAAACACAATTTTCCCAATAGTCACGTTGCTCATAATTATTTATTTATTTAATAATGATCACGCAAAAGTATACTAACCGTTTGTAATAAATTTCTGGCACAAAGGGATCAGCTAACCAATTACCTACAAGTATATATGGCGCAGTCGAATTTTATACAAATTTTTTATTTTTCCAATAAAAATATTTTCTACGCGTCTTAAAAAAAGCAATTAGACAAACTAAAAGAGGCCAAACATCACAACGTTACAAAATCAAACGAGCAAGTATTATTAGAAGAGAGAAGAAGAAGGCTAAAAGCTTTTCTAGTTACTATTAGAAAAATAGCTCTAATTTTTGTACATGTAACACTTGTGCGCGTAAAAATTAATAATATTGATTAATTGCTAGAAATCAATGTACAGAAAAGTCTGCTGCTGCTTAAACTGATAAAGCATACTCTTGAATATGTTAATCTTGATCTTTTTTAAAAAATGAACTTGGATTTAATTTTATCTTTTCTGTGATATAATGTAAAAAGGATGGCAATAATAAATTAAGGAAGTTTTGCATTTAACACATTCAATGAAGAATCAATAGTAATAATCGAAATGTTGGTGAAAACTCACCATCAAACGAAATTCAATTACTGATTGGGAATGCTAGTGATAGAACTTCAGATGTAAAGCTTGATATGAATATTTTATGAATGTGTATTCAATAAAATCATTACTTCATCAACAATAAGAACTTCTTTAATCCAGACACAATTAAATTATTTCATAGACATCAACAAGAACCCTAATGTAAGTTTAGCATCATCCTTTTAAAGCATGTATGATTATTCTCTGTTCATTAATATTTTATACATTTTGTTTGTTTGCTGATTTTAGCCCTACATACTAGGGAATATTGGACTTGGACTAGAGAAATCTTAAGAACTTTGAAATAAAAGATGAAGTCATCCAAAAATTATCACAGGACTTTCTAATAAAATTGGATGGAATAAAAATGCTACTACTCCAAACAACATCCAAAAATATCTTATAATAATTGCATAAATATTGATAAAGATGGAGCCGTCGAATAATTGAATATGAACGTTGAATTTATGTATGTGTACAATCTGAAATTTTAATATGGTGTTCTTATTTTGGACTATTACCCAGATGCCAAATTTAATTCAAATGTGTACTGAGAATGTCCGTTGTTTTCTAAATCACCGAATATAAAAGCTATTGGTAATGAATCACTTATATATCTTTGATATTTTCTTTTGAAAGGATTTCAAACGACAATTATTTTCAAATATAGGAATGAGTTTCAACCAATAAAGCGCAAAATGAAAAAAATTGATCCTTTCTCAAGGGAAAAATTGGATATAAAGTTGATGTAAAAGGAACCTTGATTAAAACACTAACTAAATTCGAGATCATATGGAGAGGTTTCTGGTGGCGTGGTTTTTCTTGGAATGCCTGTTTCTTGCAGGAAAAAAAAAATAAAAAGTAATTGCATACGGATGGTTACAAATTCTTTGCTGTAAATAGAAATAATAGAAATAAGAAAGATTTGTGAGAATTCTTATCAAAAGATTATATTAATATTTTAACTGTAAGACGTAAACTTTGCGATGGATTGGATCGGGTCTGGCATGTATAGATTTGGAAAACTGCAGAATGTCGATACCACATCTTGGTATAGCCGAGCCAAAGAAATGTAGCAAAAGTCCTAACCAATATAAATTTTGTGCGTATATATTCTTCACTGATTTTCCTAATGCAGTACTAAGCTGTGGTTTGCAGGTGATCCAAAAAAGTCCAGGGGAGGTGAGACATTTATGGATGCGAATAGGACAAGACTTGCGGAGCTTGGATGCAATACGGTTCAGTCACGATCATCGGATAATATATGCTAAGTCGGAACCAGTGTCCAATTTTCCCGAGTCACTCTATAAATTATTTGAAGTAGGTAAACTATGACTTATGATAAGCGTTGAGTCACGAAACTAAAAAATTATGTTTTCTAGGAAGGAGCCAAACAGTATTTGGTGAAAAAGGATCAAGAATTGGTGCATTGTTGTAGAGAATTTGCCCACATGGAGAACAATCTCGTGAATGCAAGAGATCCCGCTCCAGTGCCTCGTGAAGTATCAGCTGGAGCATGGCTAGATCTACCAGGAAAATTGAGAGTGTCATCTGAACAATTTTTTGACGTGATGTAAATTTTATCACATTTGTGATGATAAATTTTTTTTCCTCTACCTTCAATGATGTGTTCGATACAAATCATAATGATTAGTGAGTGAATTAATGTATTATTCTCTTTGGAGATAGATTATGAATGGGAAGATTTATCCTTCATCAACAAGGTTTCCTATATGTGTGAAGCATTAACGCCTTTATTTGCCATAGCCATGAGTAGAATGTGTAGCCTGGGGTGGACGGTACTCATGTTAAGCTTCATCCACATCGTCTTTTGAGCTCTTCGTGGCGTGTAACCTAAACAGAGATGTTAGGGATAAATGAAGTTTAATCAATGCTAAACAAAAGGTGATTTAAGTGCTGAAAGACCTGATTATACCTTCATTTTCCAGACAGGGGATGTGAAATGGTATAAGACAAAACCGGTGTCCCGAATCTGATAAACAAAAACGGCAATAGAATCATAAAAAAGTGACAGGGCTTTCCAAGGGCTCAATTGAAGGTTAAGAATATATTATTATTAACATTCTCAATTTAAAAATCTATGAAAAAAAGAATCGTGATAAATGTTTTTTTAGATGAATTGACTCACTTTTTAAAGCCGAATTGAATGGTTGTGGTTTTTAAAAATCTAACATCTGGATCACGTAATATTTCAATAGATGATCCGCACAGCACTTTTCTATTACTATGTAATCAATTGTCTTTACCTTAATATATTATAACTCATACGCCTATTACTATGAATCAATGAAATATGATTAACATATTTCATTGACAATAAAATGACCAATCAAGCACCTTGGCGTGAAAAGTTGCATTATACTTTTGCCCTCTACTAAATAAAAATTTTTTTTTGTGTGTGCAAATAGGAAAAAACTCAAAGGTTGCGAAAAATTTTTACTTTTCCGCAGCAAGTTCACTGATTTCATAGACGGATTATCAATTAAAAAAATTATAATTTAGACCAAAACTCCTATTGGTAGGAAAAAAATCAAGTCTCTAGATGTGATATATAAGAATTGCATGAGTCACCTAAAATTAAAATAAAAAAAGTTTAAAAGCTTGTACCATAAATAACAGGTAATTATAATAAAATAAAATAAATAGTACAACACACACACACACACCTTCACTAATTCTTAAAAACCCCGATCGATTTCTTTAATTATATTATTTATCGATACTATTATTAAAAATACTTTAGTGTAATTTAAGAGTGTTTCAAACGAAATTAATGGTTTTAAGATTAAAGTTTTTAACACCTTTTTTTAATTACGCGTTTGTACGAACAAAAAAAAAAAAAAAAAACATCTAAAATTTTTTTCTAAAAAAAATTTTTTATTTTCGATTATCACAAAGTACAAAATAAGAGTACAACAAAAATCTATTTTTATGATAAGTGTGGTATGGTAGATGTTGATCACTTATGAGACATTATATTTAATATTTACTATTTTATTTTCAGAATTAGAAAGGTTCCTTCCAAAGAAATTATATATATATTGAATAAGAATTTGCATTTTTATTGGTCATAATTTTCACGCATTCACCAGAATATATATTATTTATTTATGTATCACAATACAATGACACGTATTTTTCTTACAAAAAAATTCCTTTGTTTTCCTAGATAATAATAAATAAATAATAATGTCTATTGAAATTACTGCTCACTCTCAACAAGCTTCTTCTCCAATAATAGACACTCCTATTGTCAAGCTAGAAGATACTCCAGCTACCATCCATTCTACTCCTTTAGAAGATACTCCTGTTATTAATCCTTTTTCTAAATTAGAATATACTACTATTACTTCCGCTCAACTATTACCTGCTCCTCAACTTGAAGAAACTCAAACTCTTAACACCTCTCAAATATACAAAGCAACTTATTCTAATGTTCCAGTATGGGAATTTCGGTAAAGAATTAAATCTATTTTTGTTCATTTTCTTCTTTTGCCAAGATTTATTTATACAATCTCTTACTAAAAATAACTTATAGAGTAAAAAATGTAGCTGTAATGCGTCGCAAAACAGATGATTGGCTTAATGCAACTCAAATTTTAAAAGTTGCTGATTTTGATAAGCCTCATAGAACTAGGATTTTAGAACGCGATGTACAGAGGGGTGAACACGAAAAAGTTCAAGGAGGATATGGGAAATATCAAGGTATTATTACCTGCCTTGTCTTATACCTTGTACTGTCTATAAAATCAAGTGTTTAATGAGATTATTATGCTTTTTGTTATGAATTATTTTTTATAAAAAAAACAATAATAATATATAAATATAACCCCCCAAAATAAAATTTAATAATTAATACACTAAAAAAATATATTTTAAAATATATTTTATTAATATTTTAATATTTAAATTTATTTTTAAAGGAACATGGGTGCCTTATGATAAAGGAGTAGATCTAGCAGAACGTTATAGGGTTAAAGAATTATTACAACCACTAATAGAGTTCAGACCTTCATTGTCAAGTCCCCCTCTTGCACCAAAACATGTCACTGCCGCATCAAATAGACCAAGAAAACCGCGTGAACCTAAAGAACCTAAAGAACCAAAAGAACCAAAACCTATTAAACCTCGAGTTTCAAAAAAAGGGAAGGCTAAAGCAAATGTAAAAGAACAACCCGAAGAAATAATATCAATGGATATAGAAATGGAAGATAACGATGTTACCAGCATACCCAGTTTACCTTCAACCTCCACCATATCACCTTCACCAGCAATATCGCCAATATTTCCTTCTTCAACTTCACCAAGTAATCCTATGCCAGATTTATCTTTTAATGATGCAACAGAATCAGATGAATATAGTAAAAATAAAAATAAAAGTCAAAAATTAACAACGCCTAGGAAAAAAAGGTGTAGAAAACCAGATAATAATAATAATAATAACAATGGTAGTGGCGGTGGCGCTAATAAAAGAAAAGCTAAAATTTCCAAAATATCTAAAACACCAGAACCTATTTTGTCAATGCCAGCCACAAATCGTTATACTGAATTATTGTTAAAATATTTTGATTCAAATTCCAAGTCAATTCCAGACTTTATTGTAAATCCGCCACCTGATTTTGATCCTAATATGACAATCGATCAACACGGCCATTCTTCTCTTCATTGGGCTGCTGCAACTGCTAATGTTGAGTTGGTAACCTTGTTGATTAAAGCAGGCGCTGATGTTCACAATGGTAACGTTCTTGGGGAGACTCCGCTTATGGGAAGTGTCATGTCTACATTTAATTATGAAAAAAAAACTTTCCATGAGATTGTACAACTTTTGATTAAAACTATAGGCAATACTGATACTCGTGAACAAACTGTATTACACCACGTTGCAATTTTTTCTAATTTGAAGAATAAGAAGGAGCCAGCTAGATATTATATGGAGGTTCTTCTTTCCGACTTGAATCAATTTCCATCTTCAAATGAAGAATATCGAAAAAATATCATAAATAAACAAAATATAGATGGAGATACTGCAATTATTATGTTAGCTAAATCAAAAAATGAAGATCTTGTGAAATTATTATTTAATGCAGGTGGTGACCCTTATATTTCTAATAAAGAAAATAAAAATGTTAAAAGTTACTTTTTGGAATTAGACCCAACACAATACCAAGATCATCGACAAATACATCAGCAAAATGTGACACCAAATAATAATAGTAATAATAATAATAATAATAGTGGTGGTTGTGGTAGCAGCAGCAGAGATAGTAATAGTAGTAGTAGAATTCAAGCTAACAATAATTTTGTTAACACTCCAACATCACTTGGTTCTACCCTACACTTACCAGAACCTACTACAGTTATGAATCGTCTTCCTCCGCCTTTGATAAACAACTTCCTTCCTGTAACTGGTAATATTTTAGAAGATTTCCGTTCTCATTATACAAATGAACTTGTGATGAGGAATAATGAAATAAAGTCATGCAATGAGAAACTAAATTCAATTCAAAATGAAATTAAATCAACTCATTCTACAATTCAAGAAATAAGACAAAATACTAATGACTTAGATGAAAGAAAAGAACGTGCGAAGAAATTAATTGCTATTATAAAAGAAAAAATCGAAAAACAAAGCAAAGAAAGATTAGATGTTTTGATTGCTGAAGAAATGAAAAAAATCTCACTATCTAATGAGTCAAACACTTCCTTAATTTCTGAAAGGTAAGATTTTAGATAGTATAAGAGAGAGAGAGTGTGTGTGTGTATATGTATGGATATTTTATTAAACAATTTACTAATTGCCTTATAAAAATGATTTTTGCCAAGATAGAAAGAATGAAGAAGAACTTCATCAAGCTTTAGAAAACATTATTAATGAGAGAGATCAATTAATTAACAAACTGGTAGAAATGAAAACATCGCCTAAAGCGTCTACACTACCTTATAAATGGGTTTTTAATAGTATCTTAAAGGAAAATGTTTTTGTAGACAAAAACAATTCTAATTGATTTTGCTTTATTTTTAAAAATTGAATATTAAAATTTTATCACTTTAACAAATTAAAGAGTTAATAGACAATTTTACTATTTATATATTAAATGTAAATGTGTATATTTTTTTAAAAAAATAATAATTCATATCTCATTATTTTATAGGAATAAAAGAAATATTTAATTTTAGACATTGATTTGATTTTTTTATTTTTGATCGATACTGCGTTTATTTATTACATATTTTAATATATTATTACTTACTATTTTTGGTTCCTTGAGCACTTTACTAGACGGATCGCTTAAATTCGTGGTTTGGGTAGTACACGTATTGTTATAATGATTCAATGATTCAAAATAAAAAAAAAATGTCTGATTATCAATCTCTTACTACCCTTATTAAACGTTTAGAAGCAGCCACTTCTCGTCTTGAAGATTTAGCAACTACGGGAAGTAGTAATTCAACAAGTAGTGCTACTGCTCCCGCCTCAACTACTACTATAGGAGGACAACAACCAACAACTACCACTTTGGTTACTTCAACAACCAATAATAATGATAACGATACAAAGAACGAAGTAAAACTCACACCAGCTCTTAGCGCATATGATGAACTTATTGAGGGACCTTTGAAAAACTTTCTTGAACTATCTAAAACCATCGGTGGTCTTGTTGAAGATCAGGTAAAATAAAGAAATGAAAGAAGGAAGATTATTGTATTAAAAATTTTGTTTTTCGCAAAATGATTTATTTTACAAAAATAATTAATTATTACTAGAGTCATGCTGTCAAAGATATTTTTATAGCTCAGCGAGATTTTATATACATAGCTTCACAAAGTAAAAAACCACAAACATCAGAAACATTTGTAAAATTAATTAAACCAACTCAACAAGCGCTTGAAAAAGTATGTGAATATCGTGAAAATAATCGTCCATCACCATTTTTCAATCATTTATCAACTGTTAGTGAAGGTATCGGTGCATTGGGATGGGTTACATATGAGACAAAAACTGCTCCTTTTGTTGGTGATTTAAAAGATGCTTCGCAATTTTATGCTCATCGTGTTATCAAAGAATTTAAAGACAAGTAAGTATTATTATTATTATTATTACAATGTGTACTGAAAAGATTTTCTTGTTTTTGGTATTGTTTATATAAATAACGGTTTAATTAAAACCATATTTTAATTACAGGGATCGTTCTCATGTTGATTGGGCAAATAGTTTTATTTTACTCTTAACTGAACTTCAGAGTTATGTACAGACTTATCACACTACTGGTCTTGTATGGAATCCAAAGGTTTGTAATAATTAATTCAAAAATATTTTATTCACTAAATTATATTACATTAATATATATATGTATAAATACATTTTGATATAATAGGGTGTTGACCCAAGCGAATTCATTGGCAGAAAACCTGAATCAACATCAACAAAACAAAACAAAACATCACAAGGTGGCCTACCACCGCCGCCGCCACCACCACCACCGCCACCACCGCCACCCTCAGATTTTGATTCATCTAAACAAGTTGGAGAAACAGTTGATATGACTCAAGTTTTTGCTGAACTTAATCGTGGAGAACAAATTACATCCTTACTAAAAAAAGTTGACAAAGATCAAATGACTCATAAAAATCCAAGTTTAAGAGCTAGCAGTACTGTGGGCGAAGTTGGAGGTAAAAAAAAATTTTTTGATTTATGAATCTTTATTATTAAATTTGTATATATATATATATATATATATATATTAAATGTCCATTTATTGAAATGAAAAAAAGCCAAGGTACAACAACATAAAAAAGGACCTACAGCACCACCAAAACCTGCTTCGTTATCTCTTAAGAAACCACCTAAGAAAGAATTGAAGGGTAATAATTGGATTGTTGTAAGTGTGAATTAATGATTTTATTTTAAGAAAAAAGATATTATATTAAATGAGTAAATTAATTTAATAAATACTTATTTTTAAATAGGAATATTATGAAAACGAATCAAATATTGTTATTGATGATACTGTAATAGGCCAAAAAGTTTATATATTTGGATGCAAAAACTCTACAGTCCAAGTTAAAGGCAAGGTTAATGCAGTTACAATTGGTAAGCTACACACACACATGCATACTATCTGTTTTCTTTTAAAGCCATAAATAATAAATAATATTTTTGTTATATAATAAGATTCTTGCCAAAAAACTGGTCTTCTTATTGACTCAGTGGTGGCAGCAGTTGATGTTGTCAATTGTAAATCTGTTCAAGTACAGGTACAAGGAAAAACACCAACAATTGTTGTAGATAAAACTGATAGTGCACAATTATACTTGTCACCAGAATGTTTAGACACAGAGTTATTCACAGCTAAAAGTTCATCGATCAATGTCAATGTACCCAATCAGCAAGAAAATGGTGATTATCTTGAACTACCAATTCCTGAGCAAATTAAAACTACCATTAATGGCGGAAAATTGGTTTCAGCTCCAGTTGAACATAGTGGATGAAATAATAATAAAATAAAAAATTAGAAATCATTATTATTTAATTATTTTTCCTTCCTATTTATTGGTAATATCTTTTTTATTTATTATTATTGTTAATTATATTTGTTTTTAATGTGCTTTATACAATAACTATGTTATTATTCAATATTTTAAATTATTTTAAAAGTAAATGAGATGTTTTGTGTTTATATATAGCAATCAACTTGTAAATTCATGACTATATAATTCTATACCCACTTGGTGATTTTGCGGATCACCAGAAATAATTGAATAAGCAAAGCATATTCTACTTTTGTATAATATACTCAAATGCTATGGTGTGAATAGTTTTACATGGCTTAAAAGTCAAACCAAAAATTTTTTTTAAAGTTTTCATAAAACTTTAAACAAATAATTGATTGGGCAATTAATAGAAAATGCTAAAACATTTAAATTATAAATTCACAAAAAGATCCATCAAATATTTGTAGAGAATTCATGAAAAATGTAAAAAAAAGAAATATAATAAATCACTATCAAAAAAGATTTGGAGATTTTAATTTAATTTTTATTTTTTAAAAACATGTTTAAAACAAGAGAATTATCAGTTGCTTGGAAATGTGGTGTAAAAGATGGCAGAAAATTGAAAAATCCAGATTATATTGTTTATACATGTTGTCAAAATTAATTTGGCTTTGATTCAATTCCCAAAATCTCAATTTTAATCAATTGATTGCATCAAAAAGTCATCTGATCAAGACAGGAAAAAAGTGGAAGGCCTAGAACAATTTCTGAGAGATGTCAATGCACCAAAACAAAATAGTTGAAAAGTCTTGTTACTGAGTTTACACAAGAGTTGAATAAAGCTCTTGAGGCCTGTGCCGTCCAAAGATCTCTGCATGAGAATGGATATTATGCATGCAGAAAAATGTAACCATTGCAAGTGTGCAATCTTAGTTACTTACTTACCAGGTAATTCTTATGCTTTGCATATGGCTGGTCTTACTTTTCCCCCAAATTACAGCCCATAATTATACCTACTGACCTTAAGTTCAAATATCAACACATGTCTGGTTTTCCTATAACCTCTAAATTACAGTTGATCTCGTTCTACATTACAAGAAGAAATTGGTAACCATATATTGATATATTCAAATGCTATATTTGTCTAATGCAACTTTTATATTAAACGTAGATCCACAATAAATTGTCCATTCATTTTTTTTAGATTCAGAAGAAGAAAGTGAGGTATCAAATGTTTGTTGAAATTGACATTGATATATACAGATTTTTCTTAGCTTTATGTATTTTATTATTAAGGTGGTCATCAATCTTGACTTTCATATTCAATCAACAGAATGGTCACAAAATTCACAAAATAAAATTCCATTGTTAATGTGAAATTCACCAGGATTTTCTTCTACTCTAGTATTGAATGTAATGTACTTCTTCTATTTATCATGTTATATCAAATTCCCATTTTTTATATTCAGCAGTACATTATATTATTTTCCGTTTTTAAACACACATTCTGTGATTTCTGCGGCATTCTGAGCAGTCCCCACTCACTACTGATTCATAGACAAATAACAATTAAAATTCAATTGATAGTCCATTGATCAATGATAGTGATAGAAATTTAATTTGTGAGCCTTTTAACAAAATATAATTTAAATAGCATTTCTTAAAAAAAAATGGGCATTAAAAGAAAATCAAAAATTTGGAAACAAGGGAGCGGAACAAAATTCTCCAAAAAAATATTCATGCAGGTAATGTTGACAAAGGTGATCAATATAATGCTCAAAGTGTGTGTGTATTTTGAATTATTCCAAAAGTAGGGTTGGATTACTTGTTATTCTGCAGCATGCAAACTGAATATCAAAAAATGTTCTTAACAATAATAACAATGAATAATTCATAATAAGTTTTTTTTGAATAAAATTCTTTATTCATCATTAATCATATTTTCATAAAAATAATTGAGAATTACCATTAAAACTAGCAACATTGTGTTTACAATGTTGTAATTACATTATTATTTCTTTCATTATTTTATATGTTTTTACATGGAGCCTATAGTTGCCAAAGTGTAAACTATTTATTCTAGTACTGTAATATAAGAAAAGAGAAAATTTTTATATTTTTGAATAAATCAAGTCCCTATCCACAAAATTCTATCACTTTATGGATATATAGAAAGTCAGTACCGTACTGAGCTTTGAAATTTTTTTTCAGACTTTCCATATATCCAGAACACAACCATCTGCGCCACAACGCCAATTTTATGATCCCGTGGTTTTTGAAGATCTTCAAGCAATTTTAATTGAATAAAATGGCGGGAGTGAGAATATTATGCATAAAAAAAAATAATTTTGAATAGTTGGGATGCGAAGCATCCTAGCATGATATATGTAGTTTTTCATAAATAGACTATTTCGTGGCCAAATGGTGGATTGACGAGTAACTCCGTAATTTTATCATATAAAACACTTAATAAAGTTGACAAAATGCAAATTTTAAGGCTTTACATTTTGTTGTCTATACTTATCAAATTTTCTCAAATTTTAACTATACACAATTCAAGATATTTTAAGCGGGCTTACTTAATGACGTAATCCATGATTCAACGGAGTTTTGAAGGTTTTTACTAATACTAAGCTTAAAGTTTTCATAAAAATCACGGAATTTTTTGTCTAATTTAAAATTTTCATCCTAAATTCATTATTAA